ATAATAATAATAATAATAATAATAATAATAATAATATCGGTTTTTTAATCCATCAAAGTACTCACTACTTTTTGGGAAGACGTGCCCTACGTAGTTACAACTTTTGCTCATTATTTCTCTTTAAAAAAAAAAAGATATTCACCATTTACAAGCATCTCTAGTCTTCAAACAGACAATTTCATTATAATGAAGTCTCGCAGTTTTTTATGATGACCATACAACCTCCGGTGTGTTCACAGGTTTGGTAGGAAAACATCACTGATTTTCTTCACATTCTCGGCTGGAGTAACGCTGCTAGTTGCTGTGCTGGTAGCAACGTTAGCAGGTAAGTAAATCCCGTTTTCAGAGATCAATATTAATATTGCGGTGCAGTCTTTTGCGCCCTCAGCACCTGTGTTAATTTTGCGTCTTTCATACCAGCATTTGGTGTCTTAGAGATCGGAATCGCATTTTCTAAAATGTTTTCCTGAGTGACACTCTTCTGGTATAAGAGCAGAAAACAATCTGGGCCGTGTCTTTTCTCTCTCACGTCCCATCCCAATACCCATATTCCGCGTGTGTGTGTAGGGGGGGGCGGGGAGCTCACATGCTCGAGAGGACACGGTGTTCCCCTCTCATTCAATAGGTCCCGGATTCGAATTCGGATAGCGACTGAACATTTTCTTCTCTAAAATTTTCTCTTTTCACATATTTTCCTGCTCTCTAACAGCTTTCGTCTCGATTTTCTCCCCCTACCCTCACACCTTCTTTGTCTCCTCCTTTGGGCTTCTGACTCTTTCTTCAGCCTTTCTACTGCTACTCCTTGGCTCCTTCTTACTGCTGTCTTTCAGCCACATCCCTTGTTTTATGGTAGGTAAGATCTTACACCTAGCCTTCTCGGATAAGAGCAAAAAAATCCCGGAGGACCCACGTGCAAATTGCGGACTTTAAAAATCCCTTCGTTGTCCAAAATCGATGACAATAGGTTTTGGCCGCCTCTAGGCCAAAATTCAAAATCAATTCCTACCAAAACCAAAAATGTTTAATGTGTCACGTGCGCTCATAATATGACCTTATTCAGTTGCGAGCGCCGTAAAAAAAACCTTACCCAGAACAAATTTAGTGTGTCAATATAATTCTCTGCATTGCATCAGTTACAAGAGTAATTAATTGCTACCTTAGAATTACAAAGTTCTATTTGAAATTTTGGGTCGTTTTGAGTTATTAAGACCGTGGGGTCAGAAACCAATGTTTTATCTGCTCTTTCAAAATCGTATGATTATTCGGAGTCGTTTTCAAGATATTCAAAGATCTTCATTCGAAAAACGTTACATGTTGTGAAACTCAACATTTTTTACGTCAAATTCCTCTAAACTAGGTACTGAGCAGATAGAACTTTGTAATTCTAGGATAGCCTAATGTCTAACAAATCATTTTTCCTCTTCAGAAAAAACCTACGCCACACAGATGAGCCAGACCGCCCTCACACTGGCTGGAAAATTCTTCATATCTGCCTCGTTCAACAATCTGTGGATATATACCCCTGAGCTATACCCAACAAACCTCAGGTGAGAACATGATTTGCACAGCATTCTACTAATTTATGAAAGGTAAATGTTATGATGGCCTAATATATATATATATAGGGACTTCTTTAAAAAATCATAGAAATTTGGCATCGCAATTTTTAAAGAAAATGAAGTTGTCGTGTTATTGCTCAATTTTTGTTTGATAATTTGGATATGTTTTCGCCACTAGGGTGTAAAATATCGAAGCTTAATTGTAAACAATAGCGAAGATAATAATATAGGTCTTTATCTATGCACAGTGCTTAAGAATGTTCCTTTTTGTTACCAACTTCATATACGCCGGAAACTCTTGGCGAAACATGCATTTTTTGGAGTTTAATTGTTTAATCACGTTAATCACTAGGGCTGTATGTCATATAAAATATTTTGCCATGTTCTGTTGTCAGCTGAAGACGTGGAATGAAAAAAGAGAGAGAAGCTTTTTGTACCAATAGCTGTAATTCTATACATAGCTTTAGCAAAGAAGCTTTTATTAGAACAAGCCTTACACATGTTATAAGTTATAACACAGCTGACGTTAGGAAATTATTTTTTCCGTACAGACATTGTAGCACCACACCAGAAAAACCCCCACTGTGGGTGGACAGTGGACAACTAATTCAATAAATATCAATTCTCAAAATAACGCAATTATACAGTGGAAAACACTTACATTATCTTGGATGAATGATCATTATATAGTTACCTCTCTTTGAAGTTTCCTAGTCACTTTATCATATAATTAAAAAATATTGTTTAGCTTCTTTGCATTGTCTTTTGAATTTTAGATTACATTATTTGTACCACTGCAATGGACTGTAGAAATGAAAGGAGTCTAAATCTAAAAGCAATATGTTATAGAAAATGTGATAATAGGCATTATGTAAATATAACAATATAACCCACTGGGTTAATTACTTTTCTGAAAAGGATAACAGTTACATCCCTTTTTTAACAGAACCTTGCATCCCCCCCCCCCCCTTAACAAAATCAAGAATACCTTTCCATCTATGACCTGCATTATCAACTCACCGTGAGCTTCACTCAGTATTAATTACTGGGTAGATTTGCAGGCCAGAGTAAAACTGCCCTCGGGCCATATCTGACCCATGACCTCTAGTTTGCTTATACCTGCCTTAAAATTTATGATTATTTTTTCCTTTTCATTACCGATGGTCTTTCCCGTTACCACTCGTATTCCCACTTTCGGTGACGGAGTTGGAAGTAACGGAAGGAGAAATAAGTTTGTTTGAAATATCAGGGAGTCTAAACCACAATAGCTTGCCTCATGCTGAGCATGGCATTTACTCATGGGGTTCTAAACTGTCGGAAGTACTTTAAATACACACTATAAGGCTTTGATAACAACATGAAAAAGTGACGGTTTCGGAAAGGAATTAAGCTCCAGTTTACTCTGGGTGGTCGTTTTGACTCCTCCTGAGAGAATACTCCTCCGTAGTTCCCTTTCAAATCTGTTTTGAGTGGGTGCGACGAGGGGGGAAGATCCAGGAGGGTCCTATTCTGCCTTCAGCGAGGCAAAACGCTGTCGGTAACGGAAAAGAACGTGATTTACTGTGGGCAAACATTGCCACGCCCCCTGCGTTCAACTGCACTGAGCAATTGAGTTGAAAACGAATTTTCTTATAAACTGAGTCTAAAATCTAATTGCTAAAACAAAACAGAAGTAACAGCAACATACTTATATGGTATTCCTATATATTTTAAGGGGGGGGGGGGGGGCTACACCTGGAGGCTATCTCGCTTATTACCGGACCGAATTTTACCAAATTTCACACATATAAGAGGCATAGTAAGGAGTCTTAAAATCCTTAATCAAATTTGAGGAGAAAGTTTTGTATCCCTAGATACGCCGCCATATTGGATTTTATTGACATGTCTTACGTAATGAATACCGCACTTAACGCTCATGGAAATCGATTGTTTTTTTGCATGCGTTTTCACAAACATTAGATCTAAAAATTTATCTGTTGTTTTTTTCCTAAACGAATTAGAAAATATTTAATGAATTTTTTCCAGAGGTAGCATTCAAGTTTGCGAAAAATCCGTGAAAATCCACACTCCAGACACCACCAACAAAAATCTATTCCATATATCAAAAATTGAACAGACGAATTTTTAGTATTACCTCTTCTCTTCATTCTGTGAAAATTTCATGAAGATTGAATGAAAATTGGTGGAGTTATTCAAAAAAGTATAGAGAAAAGTCGCGTTTTGAGAAAACGGCCGATAAAGAAAAATAAAATACTGACTTTATGAGGAAATGGCGGTTACAAACATGCCCGGTACGGGAAAAAATACGGGATTTTGGGGGTTCTTATGCGATGAAATAGTTGTAGGAGAGACCGAGGAAGCTAAAAATGCCTACAACTCAAATTCCATGATCTTGAGCCGAATTTTGACTTTGGGGGTGTAGCCCCCCCCCCCCCCCCTTAAGTTATTAAAAAATCTCGCGGACATACCTTTTTCTGCTACTTTTACCTACAAAAGCTCCCATATCGTCTGAAGTATGGGGCATGACGGGTTCAAATTTCTCGTGAAGTAAGTAAAATGGTACGCAAATACAAAACAATTCGTAATAAGCCCGTATTTTGTGTGTAATTAAGTTTCTACGTTGGTAAAAGCATGGGGACAAGGCTTTATACAATTTTTAGAAAAGTCCCACATACAAACTCACAAACGATTAGAAGCGTAGAATGTGAAGAATCATACTTGTGTTTTTTGTTGCAGGAATGTTGGTATTGGAATCTCATCTACGTGTGCTAGGATTGCGGCTGCTGGATCCCCGTTCTTTAACATCTTGGTGAGTAGAGTCTCAAACGGTATCATTATTTTTCCAGTGCCGATTGAAAGTTTTGAGGATCAAAGCTGCTTTTTTGTTTCTCTTTTTTAGGATTGATGGAATTCAATGTGTATGTGTGTGTGGGCGCACGTGTGCGTGTGCGTGTGTATGTGTGTGTGTGTGTATGTGTGTGTGTGTGTGTGTGTGTGTGTGTGTGTGTGTGTGTGTGTGTGTTTGTGAGCGTTTTTGCATGTATGTATGTGTGTTTGTGTGTGCGTGAGCGAGTGTGTGAGCTAGAGAACATGAGAGGGAGAGACGAAAAGAGGTATACAGAGATAGAGAATGAGAAAAAAAGAGAGAGAGAAAGAGAGAGAGAGAGAAAGAGAGAGAGAGAGAAAGAGAGAGAGAGAGAGAGAGAGAGAGAGAGAGAGAGAGAGAGAGAGAGAGAGAGAGAGAGAGAGATGGAGGGAGGGAGAGAGGAAGAGAGAGAGAGAGAGTGGCAGAGAAAAAAAAGAGAGAAAGAGAGTCTTTTTGCCTTAAACTTTGCTTCTGTTCCCTAAGTACGTGCGCGTGTTTGAGTACAAATTGTAGTAAATCGAAAGAACAGGACAACTTGTTGGTGAGTGTTTAAATTAGTCGGAATTCTTCCGGCGTCTGTACCAGCTCAGGACCTGTGCACAGCGACGCGCGAATTATTCATGAGCCGAGCCTTGAGTGGGGCAGACAGGGAGTTGGACGCTATTTCAACTGACTAATTGGTTTGTCTGCCTGTGACTCCGGCTGTAATCTTGTTTTTTCAAACGAACGACCCCGTGCTCGGGGGTGACCGGTTCAAGCCATCTAGGTGTTTCTTCTTTCACATCTGGTCTACCTCAACAACACGGCAAATGCCGACATCTGTGGCGTATTGGTTAAGTTCTTTGCCTTGAATGCGAAACAAGTGAGTTCGATTCTCATTTTGATAAATGGGCCGTGGAGGATTGTTGTGTTCAGTGTCCCGTCTTTCTACTGATGTATAGTATCCTGTAATGCACTGGGGGAAAGTGGCTGGCACAGTAAAAGTACACCGCCTTCTAAATGATGTCGATATGCACCTAAAGCATGCATAATAATTTACTAAAATAGTAGCACAAGTGTAGACTGGGGCTTATAAATGCCCTTTGCTGTAAGTATAAACATGTTACAACACGAACAAGGGTTTTTTATGCAGTAGGTGATTATTAATGCGTATTAGGCACGATATAAGCACTAAGATTGTAAGGGATAACAGAAACAAAGAAAGAGTATTTTTGTTAACAATAGGTGGGATTGAACTTATGTATTGTAAAATTTGTCTTTCGACAAATATACATTGTAATGTCAAAGTAGAGAACATCTCAGTTCAAACGATATTTTAAGCTGCAATGAAAAAGCAGCTTTAATATCCGCTCTCAAAGAAAGTAAAACGTACCAAAAGACCAAAAAAACCCAACAACAACAAAAAAAAACAAACCCAGATGGAAAACCAGCACTTTTCTACTAAAAAAACTGGAGACAGTCTCTGCCTATTTTGTTAGGTTTTGAAACATCAGTTGACCAAAATACAGGTTGACTCAAAAGAATACTCCAAAATCATCACGCGATATTTCAAAAACGAAAACAAAAAAGGAAAATTCTAGCTTGGACACATATGTGGTACATACCGTCAAATTTTTATTTCATGTTTTACCAGTGCTCAATGTGGCCACCACCGGCAGCACGGACAACATCAAGCCGATATGAAAATTCCTTCCAAACGCGCCTCAAGAAGTCTCAGGCCACCTTGCTGATTGTAGCTGTTATTCAATGTTTCATGCCATCAATATTAGCTTAAGCGTTGGAACATAAACTTTGTCTGTAAGGGGGGGGTGTTAAATTGACGATTTTTGGTCAAGTTATGGTATATGGACTTTTTACGTACATTTGTTTTTTTAATACTCCAGTCATTTGTAAATTTAAAAAGTGCTTACCCATTGTGTTACAATCATCATCTTTCAGATTTTTTTTGGTCCTAGAACCTTATTTTGCCTATTATGTAACAGAATATAGTTTTTTCCCCTCAAAACTTCAAGTTTTTATGTTTTTCTCATCTACTTTTTATTTTCTTTTTTATTCCAATGAAATTTTCAGGGCTTGTTATTCATACCATAACCTAACTTTATACAGGTAGAAAAGCAAATAGATGCTTTCATAAGTGAGTTACATGGATGAATATGTACTCGAATTCACAGGCATGAAGGGGTAGGCCAGTTATCCATCTATAACTTTTTTCTTATTAAAGATATCCAAAATTTCAACAGTATAACATTTTGTATTGAGTGTATCTATCAAAGTACCATTGGTAGGTAAATAAAAAAAATTCTTTATACTTTTAGGAAAGCTGTTTACTTTCAATATGGCAGCCGTAGACGTAAACAAAAAAATTAAAGTTGTATTTTAGTTATACTTTCCTACTATACTTCCATGTTATAAGGATATATTTGAAAAGTCATAGTTGCCGAGACAGGTTTATAACACGCCCCCCCCCCCACTTAATATACCCCAACAAAAAAAATCACACACAGTGAGGTCTGAGGATCGGGTGAGCCAAGCGCAGGGAGCGAGGTCTATAGTACCTCTCCTACCAATCCAGCGCTGAGGTACGTTTTCATTCAGATAAGCTCGAACCCAGAGATGCCAATGCTGCAGTACTCCATCTTAATGGAAAAACGAAGTTATTCGAATATATGGACTGTAATATGAACAGCCCCTTCTTGTGGTGGTATTTGAATAATAAAGTTTACATTTCACCACTTCCAACAAATATCAATAACATGAAAGATCGAATAAGAGCTACAACCAACACGGAGGCCTGAGAGTTCTTGAGGTGCGTTTGGGAGGAATTCTCAAATCGGCTTGATGTTGTCTGTGCTGCCAGTGATGGCCACATGGAGCACTTGTAAAACATGAAATAAAGACTTGAAGGTATGTACAACACATGTGTCCATGCTGGTGTTTCTATTGTTGTTCGTGTTTGAAATATCGTGTGATGATTTTGGCGTATTCTTTTTTAATGACCCTGTATAGTGCTGTTTTGAAATAAATGAAATCCTTTTGTGTTAAAAAAAACAAAACCAAAACACTTATTAAAAAAACCCAACCCATTACTGTTTTGTTTGTTATCAGGCGAAGAAGGCACTGTGGGCTCCTGGCGCGTTGTTCGCGAGCGGCTGCTTTGTGGGAGTGTTTCTCTTTTCCTTCCTGCCAGAGACCGGTTGGCGAGAACTGCCACAGACCATCGCCGAGGTAGAAGGATGGTTCAAGACTGACCAAGCTCTTCGAAAAACAAAGAAGGGCAACGCAAAGATGGGAAAAACGGACATAAAATTCGTTACTATTGAAGAGAAGAACGAAGACGTATAAGTTCGTTCTGTGAAAGTGATGTTGATCATTTGAGTGAATTTAAAGTGGTATAAGAGAAAGATGTCATTAAATATATCAAAGGGTCCCCAGCTAAAACATGCGACACAGACCCAATATCTACTTCATTGTTAGTTACGTGCATTGAAGATCTCGCACTATATTATTTATGTTACTCGTTTTATTAATACGTCACTCACCACTGGAATAGTACCTGATCTTTTAAAAAAAGCCACTGTAAAATCTTTATTTGAAAAACAAGGTTTCCAATCTTAATATAAAAAATAAATCCTTTAGAAAATAGTTTTGTGTCAAGTTTAACAACATTTAAAGGCTAATGAAATGGAAGAACCTTTTCAATCTGCTTATAAAAGCCACGATGGTACGGAATCTGCTCTTTCAAAGGTATCATCAAATGTTTTAAATAAAATCAATAATAAAAAAAGTATGTGTTTTGGTTATACTTGATTTGTCAGCGGCTTTCGATACCATCGACCACGGAATTTTTAATATCAAGTTATGTTCTAATGTTATTTACGTAATATCTAGAAAATAGATTTACGTCAGTGAACATTGGCAATGATGTGTCAGATATGTTACCTCTAAAGTATGGAGTTCCTCAGGGTTCAGTCCTTGGCCCTGTCATGTTTACAATGTACACACAAAGTCTGTCATCAATAATTTCTTTATATGCCCTCAATTATCATCTTTCTGCTGACGATACACAACTGTATGGATTCACTTTTACTGACAATGTAGACAATCTCATAGATAGAATCGCCAGATGTATCAATGATATAAAAAATGGATGCTCAAGAACAAATTAAAATTATATGAGGATAAGACCAAAATATTATTTATTCACAGCAGCCCATGCAACGAAATCGATAATATCAGTATAAACATCAACGACCATGAAATATCAGCCCAAACTAATATATAAAATTTAGGTGTAGTGCTAGATCAAGATATGTCAAAGAAATCCTATGTATCCAATTTTCATAAACATCTATGTCTACAACTGAAGAAAATAGGGAGCTTTAGAAAATATCTATCTGTTGAAGCCACCAAAACTTTAATAACATCACTTATATTGTCAAGGCTTGATTACTGCTATTCCTTATTTGCTGGTGTACCTGAGAACAGTTACAACAGCTACAAAGAGTACAAAATATTGCTGCCAAAATAATTACTAAGAAACTAAAGCTTGATCATGTGACTCATATTTTAAAAGAACTACACTGGCTCCCGGTGAAAGAGCGTATCATATGTAAAAATCTGTTTAACTTGCTATAAGTGCCTACATGATCTATCACTTGACTACCTAAAACAGTTTTTAACACCCAATGTACCACCTAGAACGCTCAGATCATCAAATGACAAAACAACTCTTGTTAAACCTAAAATAAATTACAAATCATATGGCCAACGCTCTTTTTCATATTTTGCCCTACTTGTTCGGAATATGTTTCCAAAAACTATCAGAGAAGCAGAAAATCTTGAAAATTTTAAGAAAAAACTAAAAGCATTTCTATTTTCATCATATTTCGATTAGACAGAATCCATCCAATCTTTAGATCGTCGTGAGTTTGTATGTGCGTAGGTACGTATGTATGTGCGTGTATGTATGTGTGTATGTGTGTGAGGGTGGGTGGGTGCGTGCGTGCGTGAGTATGTGTGTGCACGCGTATGTACTACTATGTGCCTATAAAATTGTAATTACATAATACGTTTCATGCCAAGCGCATAGAGCATTGCATAGGTGGATATGCCCTGTATAAATGAATCCATTATTATTATTATTATTATTATTACTATTGTTATTATTAATATTATTATTATTATTATTATTATTATTATTATTATTATTATTGTTATTGTTATTATTATTAATACTATCATATTATGGTCAGGTCTCCCTTTTCCCAACGAAAGGAGTCCAGAAACGAAAGCCCACCGTGCTTCATGGTGAGGGACGTAAACACTTTTGGTGTACCGTTATGTCTTTACAATATAAATGTTTTCGTACTCTTGAGCCTACCTTATGCTGTATCTGTACGTACAGGCATAAGCTGATATATTGTTATGCTCTTGTGAACAACATTTTTTGACCTCATGAACAAACAGAAATGGACACAATGATCATATTTCAAGTCAGTACATTGTCATGCCCATTAAACAAAGCAGCAAAAAGAGTCTGTGGTTACAATTAACCAGTTCATTTCCCTTTAGCAAAAGTTCATCGTTATTGGATTTTGATTTGTTTTGTTATTTTTGTCTAGAAAGGCCGTTGGTGTCTCTATTTTTGTCAAGTGGAATACAAAATATTGTGTATTAATGTTTTGAAATAAATATGATATTTTGCTGTATTATCATGGTGTTTTAATCGTGCTTTTAATGTTTCGGTTCGCTCATTTTAAAAGTCAACAAATGCTCATCATTATTCGTTTTGTTTTTGTTGCGTTGAAGTGCAATTGGTGTCTCTATTTTTCAAGTGGAATGCGAAATACTGTGTTTTAATGTTTTGAAATAAAAGTGTTTTGCTGTATTATCATGGTGTTCTAATAGTGCTTTTAATGCTTCGGTTTGCTCATTTTAAAAGTTAAAAAACATGTTTACTATATTCAGATTAGTACAGTTGGTTAAAAGTAAGCTTACAATACATAGTAATACACTTTTCAATACTCTTATTCGCCTCCTCCTTCTCCTTCTCATGCTCCCCTTCTTTCTCCTCCTCTTCCTCCTTCTCTTCCTCCTCCTCCTCCTCCTCCTCCTCCTCCTCCTCCTCCTCCTCCTCCTCCTCCTCCTCCTCCTCCTCCTTCTTCTTCTTCTTCTTCTTCTTCTTCTTCTTCTTCTTCTTCTTCTTCTTCTTCTTCTTCTTCTTCTTCTTCTTCTTCTCTTCTCTCGGTCTATTTCTATTGAGGAGTTAGTTTATTGCTAGTTCTACTTTTGTAAGAATAGAAACGTTGTTCTCTTTTGAGTTGACGGCTTTTAGTGTGGCCTTCTGTCGCACTAATGTTAAAATGAGTTTTAAAAAAGAAATAATTTTTATCTGCTGGCTTTCCTAATGTCCATGGTTCAAATACGTACAAACCCCCACATTTCTATTATTCTTCCAGCTTTCTGCCGATATAATTGCCCGGAAAAAAGACAGATCGAAGCAGCCAGCTCCCGGGATGCTCGGAAGAGTAGTAATGGGGAAGCACAATATCTATATCATTTAAAATCTTTTTATCTGTTTGTGACCTTTGAAAATACAGGTGGTTGTTGAAACTTGGGTTTCATTTTCACGTCTGTTTTAACTGTTGCATCGTTATTACAAAACATATTTTATTACTGCCTACTCAATACTTTCATTTTAACAACAGAAATGTTTGGCCCCATTTCTGCTTCGTCGAGTTTTTTTTTTTAGATTTTGGTTTTCTCAGGTCTGATATTTAGAGTTTTTCTTTAGCGTGACTTCACTGATTTGACGGTGTGTTTAGGTCCCTAAGGAGTTGAAAGTAGGACAATGTTTTCTGCATTCATTTCATATTTGATATGACTTTCTTCCTATGTTGGGGGATCCTAACATGTCCCCCGAAGAGACGTCTCTGGCCTCAGTCATTATGTATTTAGCACATTAAGGTGTTTGTGTTCAAATAATCATTCCATTTGAGTATTGTTCGAATGAATTATTGTCATTCAATGAATTTTTTCCTATTAAACAATCTATCAGTCACAGTCTTCCGCCATTTTTCTGCCTTTAAACGGAACCCGCCCTATACTTAAAGCTCTTCTGTAAATATCTCGGTACAGATCTCATCTTTACAGTCATTATCTCCTTAAATGATGTATTATTTTTTGGTAAAGTCTCTGGTGCTCTGAAGTATTTCCAGAATTATTGAACCCTGCATTGGGTGTTGGTGCATAATATAATATTATCGTGGAGTTCTTTTCCGTTCCTTTGAAGCTGACATTAATTATATTTATGTCATTCAGTTGACCTGAGCAGATTGACAATATTTACAAAAATCTCTTTCTACGTTTATTAATTGTGTTGGTATAGCCTTTTAAATTTCCATTATACGCACATCTTTCTAGAATGTCTATTCTTGTTCATTTTGTTTCCGTGTTCATTTTGACGTACCACGCTTCAAGTATCTTTTCCTAAACATTTTCTTCAATTTATTTCTTCTCCATCGCCCTTTTGTCCACTTCCATCCAGGGTATATTGTTGTTTGTTTTTTTCTCTCAGTATTCAACTCTTCCGTCATACGCTTATCCGACCTGCCTAACTCAGACGTCTCATCATCAAGTCTTTTGGGTATTGTTAATCGCTGCCATCCTTAGCTTTCACTGTTTCTTTGTACTCACTGACAGTTTGTTATTTCGAGGCTTCACTTTCTGTGAGACATCTCATCTTGGGAGATCTGTGTAACAACAGACAGCGGTAGAGGTCTGGAGACATCTCTGGTCGCCCTGACCTAGCTCGTTTTCTAGATCTGGGGGCGTTTCAAGAGAAAAGCAAAGTTACAAGTCACTCCGCTGGCGCAAACATTTCTCCCATGATATATTTATTTGGATGTTCTATCCCATCTGCTGTTTGTAGGCGTCGTTGTGGGTGGTAGATAGTATTCCACATGTACTTCCCACTATCATTGTGTCCTAATAAATAACAAATATTCTTTGTTTGTTTACAAAGCAAAGGGCACAAATAAATCGATGATTAATTGATCAGCACCAACATGTTACCCCTGAGTTCCAATCAAATTTCTCTTCGTTGCTTCCGCAATCAAGTAAATCAGTCCCCCACCGACCGACCACCATCCATACCTTCTACTAGCCAGTGCTTCCTCTCTTTGCGCTCTTCATCGATTGCATCGCATCTTTTCTACGTTTTCTTTTTTTTTTTTTTAACTGCTTGTTCAAAATAGTCGTTTGAACATAGTAGGCGTGGCTGTGTTCCAGGTATGCAACACAGTTTTGGTTGTACGCGGCATTTACAACAGCTAAAAAAAACCAAACGCTTCCAGCGGTCGAAGCGAGTAGCTAAAATTTTCTTGTATTTTTATTTAAAAAATGTACCAGACACTAAAATGTTTGACCATAATGATATTCAAAGGAACTGAAAAAAATAGCTGTCTGTGACTATCGTAGTTGACTGAAATGTATTTACCATAAAAGAAGAGTGGGTTCTCGAAGGCATCTCGAAATTGCTAAAGCGTGTTTCACGTTCAAGAAGTCACAAAATATTGCTCCAGTCATTGTATGCTTGGCCTCTTGTCCGTGCAGAAAAAAGAGAGGTAATATTTTGAGAAGAAGGGTGTAAATGACCAGTTTTTGTGGTTTGAAGTTGGACCGCCTGGATGTTGATACAGGGTATTTCGACGACACGCGGCACAAGTGCGAGATTTGTCAAAAACCATAGAATGTAACGTTACCAAGCGAGGAATTTTGTGATGGGTAATATAATATGCCGTGAACCGATTTAAATGCTCCTTTATACAATACACTTCATGGAAGAAGCATTGGTCTCTTTTGAATGCTCATCTCCCGATAACACTGACAGAAATCAAGTTCACAAATGCTCCGAGGGAAGATTTATAGTCATGATAATGAAAGACCGCAGTTCGGTTTGATACCATAAGAAAATGACCAGACACTGTGTCTTCAACTGGTCCTACAAGTTGTCGTCTTGAAGCTTCTGTAAATATAAATGAAATTTAAAAAACCAAGACTAGACTCTTAAACGTTGTGTGAGCTAATATCACTGACATTCACACACTTGCTTAATCTTGCTTCTGGAAGTGTGCACTTCTCGGATCATATTGTCAGCGACATTCCACAAGCGTTAACATCATTTTAAAAATTAAGACAAAATGAAAAGAGAAAAGAAGGCACCAAAGCCATGACTTGGATATTTGTTATTTTTGAGTCGAAAACTTGGAAGGATGTCCCTTGATGTCTTTATTCGAATGTTATTTTTGTCTGGAAACCCACAGAAACTGATGTAGGCGATTGTGAAATAATGCTGACGATATACTAGAGAGTCTCAGTGCATGAGTTGGGATTTTGTTTAGTGGATCGCGAAACAATTGCTACAGATTAAAAGAAAACATACGAGAAACTAGCAGATATACCATCCAAAAATATCCCATCATATGAGCTGCTTAACTCTAGGATTTTATTAGCAATGTTTATTGGCTGCCCCATCTATGTTATTATTATTATTATTATTATTATTATTATTATTATTATTATTATTATTATTATTATTATTATTATTATTATTATTATTATTACATGTATTATTATTATTATTATTTAATTCTAACCACTTATGTAACCCCCTCCCCCGCGCCCCGAGAGAGAGAGTGAGAGAGAGAGAGATAGAGAGAGAGAGAGAGAAAGAGAGAGAGAGAGAGAGAGAGAGAGAGAGAGAGAGAGAGAGAGAGAGAGAGAGAGAGAGGGTAAGAGAAAGAGAGGGAGCTAGCTGGGAGGGGGGGGGGGATGACAGAGGAATGGATTTTGAGGTTGTGGCATTGGAAGATGTGAGACATTGCAAAAAATGATTTTTAAAAAAAAGCAAAATAAAAAAACCCAACCCCAAAGCTTACACAATATTAACACAAAAAAGATCACACAGTTTATATCAGAATAATAACAAATTTATTGTGAGAATAAAGTAATATACATAATGATGCGGGTACACGGGTGCTAAAGAACGAGAAATGGTTTACCAGATAGCAGCATAAAGCATAGCCACACTCCTCTAACCAGAGCTGAGCTAAATCTAACAAATCGAAATATGGCCATCTAATGGCATATTATTACATGCATATTTCAAACACATTGCGACGGAAACTGGTAAATTTGAATACGCATGATAGGACAGATAATTAGAGCACAGTCATGTGCGTGAAGTTTGTATTTAATTTAAAAGTGTAATAACCATTTCACGTTCGACAGTATGCACAACGGATTCCAACAGAAGACTATGTTTCCTGCACTGCATTTATTATGATGTGCAATAAAGACTTAATTAAAAACCCTACCAAATAACATTGCTAAACTTTTTAAAATAATAGAGGTAGACGACGTGTTCGAACACCGATCTAGCAGGTGCTAGATGCATTTGCACACTAAGCTTTTACAAGTGCAAAGGGACGTTTATTGCTGTACATTCGGTGATAGATAAAGAGAAAATGCATTCAAAAATGACACCTTAACATTTCTTGCGTCTACCTAATATTTTGCAGATCAGATGTTTTTGAAAACTTTTGTTGATGTCCTGAAATCAGCAGGAGTGTTCAGATTTTTTCAGCACTGTAAGGGGTCGACCTTCGTGGGTGTTCGAGCGATGAAAACGGTAAAAGGTGGTATGGATTATGTTTTGCGAGTTGCAAAGGATTCTTAGATTCTTCGCAAATTGCGTGGATGCGGATATCTATAATATTATGCATTTAACATGTCGACTAATAATGTTTTAGAATATACAAAGGACGCCTCTTACAATGTGCAATTGTCATTGTTACAAAGTAATGACATATACATAATATTACATGTATAATGTAATGTTACATACCAATTGTCCATCTACGAAATAAACACAGAAGGTAAAACATTAATGTGGTATTGCAACTTCACGACTCATGTGGAAAAAGAAACAAACCCAACAGGAAAGAGTGCTCAATCTTTTCTTGCAAGCTTCCATTCTGCTTCATCTCCATTCTATCTCTATAATTCTCTCATCACCACTCTCCCCTCCCCCCTTTCCTCTCCCTCTGTCTTTCTCATTCTCTTGCTTTCGCTCATTCCTTTTGTCTCAATTTTTTTCTTTTTCTTCCCCGCCC